GACTGCAGTCAGTTAAGTATTAATGCAGACGACGGGAGTGTGTTTTGTACAGGACGTCAAACGTGCACAGAGTGAAAATAAATGGTGAGAGTACAGTCCCCTGTGGTGCTCCTGTACTCCTGACACACAGTCCTTTGCTCTCTTAATCTGTGGTCTATTGTTCCGGTAGTCATTAACATGTTTTCTATAGTTTTTGACTTATGAAATCTAAAACTTCTGGCAGAATTAGGTTAATTTAATCTTTTAATTTTACCAAGATGTTTCTTATGTCAGGAAGGAATTTTGCAGTGTTGAATTGACCCAGAGCTAAAGATTATTGTGATACAGATAAAGTATTTGTCTGTTGAAATGCCCAAAAAATATTTTCACATTGATTTTACTTTGAAATGTACTTTTTCCAAAACTGATAGTAGTCATCTATCAGAAACGTTATTGGTTGAATGAGAAATAATTTTCAATCCAAACCTGTTAGTGGTCTAAGTAATTTTGAGTTTTATTACAATATAAAAATATAATTCGATATAATAAACTATTCAATATTTGCAGTTACTCCAATGAGTGAGCCAACAACTTATCTTCAAGTTCTATAATAACACACATGCTTACAGTTTGGTTGAGTATGTTAAAATAAGCCCTCTTGTTACAGTAAAAAATGTTCTTTTAGCACCGAGTGGGAGGAAACTAGAGTGGAAATACGGGAGAAAAAAAGACAAACCAGGTGAATAAAGAACAGTTGCCAAAAATGTTCATATGTTATGAAAATTAAGATTCTATTGAAACGAAGTAGTTTGATCTCACATTGATGCTTTAATAGACCGCGCACAATAGACACCTAAAACTATTCTATAAGGTGTCCTGAAAGAATAGTGATACAAATAAGTGATTTTAAAGAGCTCTATTTGTGTTTGAGAGACTATGACTGCTGAAGAAAGGAGGAATAAATGGTTGTTTTTGCCACGCTTGGCATTACTATAACAGTACCACAAAAAAATCGTGAAACACATTGAATGCACAACATATGTGCCTTATATGTTGTCTGAAATATTTTTTCACCACTGCTCTATTGTACAGATGAATGCCAAAATCATTTTCACTCTCAATTGCTCAGAAAACATATTTTTTCTTTAACAACAGCTTTATATACCTTTGCACTTGAAAATATTTCTTCCAGTGTTTTCAATTTATCCTCTCTCTAACATGGTTGAATGTTTCTGACAGTCTTGCTACATGCAGATTTGTTTTGGTTTCATCCTGTGGTGTTCACTTGAAGCGGGCCAAGACTTATGTTTTTAGAGGGACTCTAAAGATCGACTCCACATCGGCTCCTCCCCAAACTGCACAGTCCGAGGAAACGTGCTTGACATTCATTCAATAGGGCTGTGAATGCACTTTAGCATTTTTAGCTGTTTTTCCCCCTTTGACCTTCCATATTTCATGTTATGTGTAGCTACTGTTAAGCAGGGCTCCTGCACAGCAGAAACTGTAGAGTCCTACATGACCCTTTATAGTTTCTCATCAAGGCTCCTTTGTGGCGAATAAAGTTTAAATTCCTAATATAATCTTGGGAATAGTTCCCACAAATGGACACTCAGCAATAATTAAGTTTTTCTACATCGAGTCGGGCCTCCAGCTGTGCCATCTGACCCAACTCTGGGCTGTTTAATTATTGCAGTAATTAAAACTCTTTGGACATCACTTCCTGTTTGATGTGCTTGGATAGGCTTCTCAGGAATCATTTACTCAAAGTGCTGTTTGCTTCCTTTTTTCACCCTTTGTGCCTCTGTTTTGTCCCTCTTGTCTATTTTGCAATTTTTTTCTCTGTGTTGATGCTGAACTTTAGGAGTTTATTTTGCTGAAGGAGTAATGATGCTCAGGTTTTTGCTTTTAAGAAGAGTTATTATAAATTAGCTGCATGACGTAGTACTTCTGTCGTTAGCTCGTGTGAAAATAAAAAGATTGTGTTGTTTTAAGTCAAAAGATTGTGTTGTTTAATCCAACACCCTGATAATCTTTCACTTTTGTTTTGACTCGGTTGATTTTTATCTTGCTTCTGTTTGATCCAAGTTGATCAGTTCTTAGTCAATGTAGCTATTTTCTCTGGAGGGTAGCTGCCATACCATAGACACGTTGGGGTAATTTTGCTGTTTTGTGGATTAGTGCTGAAGTTAAAGCTATTTGAATACATCAGAAAGGCATCTCAGCATGATGGGATGGATACTTTTCTGTTGTTCCTCCTCAGTATATCTTGTCAATTTTGGGTGTGACCATTTTATCAGTCTATATCCAGCTGGTGATAAACAACAAACATGTCAAAGGGAAAAACATGAGACAAATGATCACAAATGGTTTTCTTTAACTCAAGTAAATACTGGTGGGAATTCACCAAGCAGTTGCTGTCTACAAGGTGCAACTCAAAGTTGCTGTGGTTTTGCGCTTGCAAACACAATTCCTGTAAAGTAAACTTTGAATCATAATAAAACCACTTTAATAAAGCATCACATTTTTTGATTTTAACAAACCAAAAAATGGCAAGTTGTTTTTTTTTTTTTTTTTTTTTTTTTTTTGAGAGTGAGGTACATTTGGGTTATGGAATAAGCAATGGAGCTACAAAGTCGAAAAAGGATGTGACTCGCATGAATACATTGAAACATGACACCGCCATTTTGAAATTTGTTTCACTCTCGGTTTGTAAAAAATTCTAGTTAGTGTTTTCCCAAAACACCGGAGCCATGTGGATGTGGATGCTTAGTTTCCCCAAACGCCATAAATTTCTTTTGACTCTTTTGGTTGAGGATGTTTTTTTTTTGTTAAAAAATGGAAAAAACTCAAAGCTCTCTGAATACAAGCTGAAGCCGATCAGCTGGTGTTTTCTGCCACGTTTTTAGAAGTACAGTGATGATGGAGTTGCTATGGGAACTAGCATTACCCCTCAGGAGTCGCTCCAATGAGTTTATAGTTGCTTGTCCATTAAAAAAGCTTCTGCTTGCTATATCAGGCTGGCAACAGTTACGTTGAGTTACACTGATCAAACATGCAAAACTCAAATCCACTGCAAGGTAAACACGCTTTAGTTTGTCTATGCAGAGTGTAAAATGAACCATCCTTCTCTAAATGCTAGATGGTAGAGAATATTACCAGACTGCAGATGTATGGGGATGTTTAGTTTGCTATCAAGTGACAGTGTTCAATTAATTTCTTTCACTCTTGAGCTCTAGTGAATTTAGAAATTAATCTGGGATAATGCATGCTTCCCGTTGCCCTGTTTTCTTGTCTAAGATTGAGTAAGGACAATATAGATGCAGTGTTTTCCTGACTTTTGCGTCCTTAAAAACCAGTGGCAATTCCCTCTTCTTTTTTTTCGATTGAGCTCTTTAATAAAATAGGAAGCAGGGTATCTAATAGTGTCTTGGTCCAGTTGATCCAGAGTTAAAGATCTTCAATCTGGGAAGGAAACTCCAATGTTGTCTGACCTGCTTTACTCAGTTCAAGATCCTGTCTGGTTAGAACCGTCGCAAGGCACACAGCACTCCCTCACTGTACACTCCTGTCTTCATATCCTTGGAAGACATTTTAATCTTTTCTTCTTAGGACGCCTAGTGGAGCACAGCACACATTCTGTTGTCTTAACAGCCGCTGCTGTTTTTCTGCAGAAAACTTGCTCCAACTAGTGTAAATTGTTATGAACAGATGGACTCAATACAGTTCACACAATTTCTGAAATACTGACTTTCCAAATAGGAAACTGATAGAAATTTTGTCCACATTCTTACTAAAACCTTTTAAAAAACCTTTTTATATGACCACTTAATATCTTAGCTGCAGCAAACAATTCTGCTTTGATGAAACAGACCATGTTTGGGATGGGCAATTATTGTATTCTTTATTCTTTGTGTTGTTGTGTATTGTCATATACACAACCACACATGGACTCATATGCCACTCATTTACTAGGGATGTGTAATTTTATTGATTCTACGATATTTATTGATATTCTTCGATTTTTAATTTTTATCCGTGAGTATCGATCAATTGAATACTATTGAGTTTTAGGTTAAATCCACACAAATTCATGCAATAATCGCATGAGAAAGTAAAGCGACTCCAAAAATTTCCATGTGCAGGATTTTATTTTTTTTCTGTTTTTTTCCTTCTACCAAAAATTGGATTAAAAAGATCTTCAGTCTGGTGCTTTGGTCTCAAATAGCTCTTTTTTTTTTTTTAAGAACAATTATGTTTACAGAGACTTCATTTATTTAGTCATTTCTGCTGTTTATTTTGGATACTTAAAATATCTTCCAGCTCCAGTGTTAAATGTTTATTAGAAAGTAAAGTTTATTGATCTTTGAGCAATTTTTCTTTTTTAATGTGACAGGCCTTTTTGTTTTGTTTTGTTCTTTTTGTACATTAAGTGAAGTGGGTGAGTCCCTGTTTTGGTTTTTTTGGTTTTTTTTGGTTTTGATCACCAGAAAGAGATTCACTGCTGTTTGGATTAATGCCCAGCATTAATCCCACATACTAGTGTAGCTTTCTTCAGTCTTACCCATTGTCATCACTGAAGTGTGAGTGGACACCAGTTTGTTGCAAACACACCTATTTATAATCAGAGTTGGGTTTATAAAATGGAAATGATTATTAACAAGCAACAGATACTAATGTAGAAGAAGTATTAGCTTTGATGTCTTCTACATTTCAAACAAAGGTCTTGTCAATAAGTAGTCTTTTAAGTGACTTAAATAGATGGAGTAATTATAAATGTTCTTTTTATTTGCATTTTTTAATGGACTTCATTGTACACACTAATTCTACTCTCATGTTTGCAGAAAAACTAGAACCACATTGTTTTCAAACATTCCCAGTCTTAGCCCAGCACTTTTAGCCACCATTACATTATTTTGGTCCATGGTCATTAAAAATCTGTAAAGTCAAATTTGTGGTGTTTTCCAGTAGTTTATTTGTGATTTTTTTTTAAAAATGTTTTTTTGTATTGTCTTGTCTTTTAGGGACAGGTGAAAGTGGCAAGAGCACGTTCATCAAACAGATGAGGATAATTCATGGGACGGGCTACTCAGATGAAGACAAAAAGAGCTACACCAAACTGGTCTATCAGAACATCTTCACCTCCATGCAGGCCATGATCCGTGCCACTGAGACCCTCAAGATCCCCTTGGAGAATGAAGAGAACAAGGTCAGCTGTACAAATGGGATGCATGTCAAATAGCCCTTTACCTAAAAATCTTACATATTTAATGTAATTGTTTGACAATATTTTCCTACACCTGCTTACAAATAATTTACAAAACATCTGGCAATTTGTTTGTAATTTTTGTTTGTTTTTTTTTTGTCTCGAAATGGTCTCACACAGAATCAGTTGTAAATTGATTCTTATCTCAACAAACAATGATTTAAAATTTTGACATGACAAAATCTACTGCAAAGAAAGGCCATTGGACCCAAATTGATTCAACTTAAAAATGTACCTTATTCTCTGCCAAAATGTTGATAGCTACATCTTAACATTCTTGGCATCTATGAATCTAGGAAATTATGAAGACAACAAACGGTAAAATCCTATATACCATAATTAGTTGCTGATTTTATTGATTTATTTTTAGCATAACGCGTTTCTGGTGCGAGATGTGGACGTGGAAAAGGTGTCGACGTTTGAAGAGCCGTTCATCACTGCGATAACGATGCTTTGGAAGGATCCCGGGATCCAGGAGGCTTACGATCGTAGGAGAGAGTACCAGCTCTCCGATTCAACCAAATAGTATGTCTGTTTGCTCTGTACTGTAATTAATTACACTTTTTTGGACGGATCTGGAAGAGGGAAAACATTGATGGTAGATGACAGAAACTTAGAATGCCATTTCTTTGAATCAAATATAAAATGGCCTCATTTGGCTCAGTTAGAAAGATCAAAGTTTGAAAATAATACTCATCTAATTCATAGTTGGATTGTAATATTTATTCAAGTGAAATGATAATCTAAGGTATTCCTATGCATCTGTTCTGTATGACAGCAGATATTGTTGAAGTCGACTGTAATCGGCATGTAATGTTGAGACGGATTAGTTTGTCCACATGTGCGCTTTTGTCATATCTTATGTTCCCTGCATTTTCGCAGTTACCTTGAGAGATTAGGAGTAATAGCAGAACCAGAATATGTGCCCGACCTGCAGGATGTGCTGCGGGTTAGAGTGGCCACCACTGGTATCCATGAGTATCCATTTGACCTGCAGAATATTGTATTCAGGTACTGGTCCCACGTTCTGCCAGTAAAGGCTGACAAACTTTAAAACTGCTAGTGAGCCAATGGGAAACTTTACTACCTTCTCCATGTACCCTCCGCTGCAGGGACAGGCTCGGCACTAACAAATTCCCAATGGTGGCTCCGAAAGACTATCTGTACATATTAGCAGGCAATATCAATTAATTGGTTGGTCTTTGGGAGCTGCCATCAAAGATGAAGCTTATATATCTAAGGAAGTGGGACCCCAACTCTTATCTTCTTGAAAATGGTCCTCTGTCAGTATATCTGAACTCACATTTTAAGGTGTTTAATCTGCTGTGATGCTTTACTCTCTTTTTCTTTCCTCTCTCGTTTTTATTTCCACTTTCTTTTTCCTTTAGCTATCTAAGTGATCTGGGTCGTATCTCCGATGCGTCCTATCTACCAACCCAACAGGATGTACTTAGGGTTCGAGTCCCAACCACTGGGATTATAGAATACCCTTTCGACTTGCAAAGCATCATTTTCAGGTAGAAGACAACGTTCACTGCTTTATCCAGTCCTGCGTCTGCACCTTATTTCTGCTTCAATCCTTATTAAGCTGCTTTGTTCAAAGCATTTAAACAAATATGGGGATATATTTGGTTCAAATCTCAAAGTCTAATTCAACATCTCATCCAGTTGGCAATTACCTTTGCAGTTTGTGGGTAACAATTAAAAATGAATTCTCCACTACTGACTTCATTATTGATTTATAATTAATTTCAGATTGTGTGAAATGGGATTCTGTCAAGGGATTATTAGCAGGTACTATTTACAGTAGATGTGGTGTAGATAGAAATCGTAGCTAACTTTGATAGTCATATTAGTCTTCTTCTAAGTCAGACTAAATAGAAACAATATTTTACACTGAAGATCCAACTTAAAAAATTAACAAAATAACAACTAAACAGATGTACAAATCTACAATTATCTAAAAATTTAATTGCATAAAATTTAACATTAAAATTACATCACATTTAATAACAGAAAACGACAGTGTCTCCACAGCTATGGATTATATTGTGTAGATGAGACAGTGAAGATTTAATAAGAATTTTAACCAATAGAACTTTTGGTAAAATTGGCATAACATTTTTATAAGGAATAATGATACACTTATTATAAACCAATAAACTTTTAACTATTATAGATAAGACACCAACGACTAACTGCCTCACTTTGGAAGAAAGATCTGATTTAAAAACTCCTTTCTGGTTCATTTAGCAACACTTTTGTTAAATAAGGTAGTTACAAATGCAGCATTTCTACTGACTCGCTTGCTATGTTGCTGGGCTTTTTGAGAGCCGCTGCAATACTGACTGCAACAGAAAATCCTTCCTGCCCACTGCCATCAGGGTCTACATCAGCTTTTTGAAGAACCTTAAATTAATGAGTTGCAGCATAATTTATTCTCCCTTTGAGAATGATAAAAAATATTGTAATTGAATTTACAGTTTGGTTAATCTGATCACTTATTTTTGGATATTGTAATTTCATTGACCAAGAGCTTCTCGTTGGTGGAATAGTGAATTCTGATGATGATCTTTGAAGGTTTGTGTCTAATTAATGCAGTGAAGATGAAGGCAGAAAAATAGTTGGGATGCAGGAGGCCTGACTGGAATAGAGCCAAAATGTGGACTGTGTTTGTTTTATGCATCCTAATCACTTGGCTGTCTTTTTTTTTTGTGTGTGTGCCGAATATATATAAGTGGATTTCCAAACTTTAATTGATAAATCGATCAAATTATCAAGTCGGCATAGATAAATGAAATTCTCAATGATAAGAAATGTTTTAAAGTTTAAGGTGCATCATAGGAGCTAATATAGCTCACAATTTTTGTGTTTCTCTTGGGAGTAGCTTCCTTTTCTTTTGTTTTCAAATAAGGAAGGGAAGAAGAGCGATTGCAAATCGATAGGAAGCAATCATGTCAGACCCCTCCCACGTTCGGCACAGCTAGAAATAACTCTGCTCGCAATAAGGCTGCGTTCAAGAGGTTTCCAGCAACCTTGCTGCAGCTTTGCTGATTGGCTTTCCTCTGCTCGACTGTGCTGCCTTTGGCGGTGAATCACTGAATAAGCTCAATGACATCAGTTTTGTGCTGTGGGCTATGAGGGTTTAGATTGAGGTGTATTTCAATGGGAGAAAGTGGTTGATTTAGATTTAACTTTAGCAATTTATTAATGATGTGTTGTCACTTTCTTGTCGTTAATAACATGGCTGGTTTAATGCATGATGAGGTGTTCTTTAGCTGATGCGTAGCTAGAAGAATAACACTCCTTGTGGGTCTAAACTGGCTCTGCTTGCAATTAACTGAGATGGTCACAATTGTTTTGACAACAATCTCCATTAGGATGGCTGCCTTCATTCTTAATTGGCGTTAAACGTAACAGAACATGTGGTTTGGCTACAGTGGTGGAGCTTATGGGGTCAAGTAGGTCACTTGTCATTTTGAGAGGTGGTTTTATTTTGGGGCTGATTTTTGGAGCAACTTGATTTTATCTTTAGTGTTGCTTTTTCTGGTCACTTCACCTTTTACAGGTTGATGGTGTTTTAGCTTAGTATCCCATAATAAAAGGGGAGTTTTTATGTGAAGTTTTTATATTTTGCTTTTAGCCTGATATCAAATTTTTTGAAGTCATGTTTCATATAGATGGAATATTTATTATGAGGATATGTACATGGAAAACGCATAATAATTCCCTTTAAAGGAAAAAGATAGATTTTTGCTACTTTGTTTGATTTTATTTAAAACCAGTAGTTCATGTTTGAAGTCCTTTCACTTGGTTTCATTTTAAAAGATCCATTAAAGCAATATCTCAAACAAATGCGTACCACAAAGTAACCAGAGTCGAGAAGTGCTGCATTGTAATCAAAATTTCAACATGTTTTAAAATCTATAAGTGTTGCTTGCTGCTTGAGCTTTCCGTTGCATGTATATACATTTTGTACGTCTGTGTCGCTAGTTTTTTCTTAATCCAAGGGAGGATTTGCTCTGTCCACACTATTTTATTTCAGACTTTCTGGTCATTATTTTTGTTTATCTTCATTGTTAAAACAGGATTTTTGGTTTGCAGATGATACTGGGTTTTGAAATCAGGGATTTGTAGTGATGCTGTCATAATCTGGTGATCCATCTACTAATGTGTAAAAAAAACAACAAAAAAATAGTTTTCTTCCAAAAATCCAACCCCTATATTCTGTTTTAACCATGATTATTTACCAAATTATTTCACTGGGTGCTCTCTTATAACGCTTTCCAATCATTCCTATTACCTCTGAACATTATTATATAAAATTGTTGAATAAGAGACGTGTGCATTCTGCATTTCAAATGTTTCAATTTACTAAACCGAAATATTATCCATTATTTTACTCTTGGAGCCTTGTTAATGACATCTAGACATAGCATTGATTGTAATTCTGTGTCATGTGTTTCTGTTTGATCTACCCCATCCTGTTCTGTCAGGATGGTGGATGTTGGGGGTCAGAGGTCAGAGAGGAGGAAGTGGATCCATTGCTTTGAGAATGTCACCTCTATCATGTTTCTGGTGGCGCTCAGCGAGTATGACCAGGTTCTGGTGGAGTCTGACAATGAGGTAAAACATTAACGCTCCTTTTCTCACAGCTGCTCTGGATATTTAGAATTTTTTTAATGGGTTTTTTTTCTGGCAGTAATTTTTTTTTTTAATTAAAGACAATCAAAAGTGGTACCATTAAACAAAATTTAACTGTCTAACTTGATCTATTGTATAATAGGAGATGTTTTTTTGAAAACCTGAGAGGTTTGTTGGGGAACATTTATGAAAAAATGGCATGATGAAGACCAAGAAACACATTAGGAAAGTCAGACCAAGAGTTGAAAGGATGTTTAATCCAGTGTAAGAAATTGCAAATGCTTTCTTTTTAAAAGTCATATATATATATATTATCATAATAAATATAAAATAATATTGTGATAAGATTCTAAATCTATATTCCCCAGATTAAGCTACATCTAGTGCAATCTTGGAAGAGGAGCTGATGAAAATGAATGAATGAATTTAGATTTTCTCGACTGTTTTTAGTAGCCTTTGCAAAGTTGAATATAATTGCTTACATTTACCTTATGCAAGAATGAACGCAGATGTTTAATTCATATAAGATGGAACAAATGACATTCACCCAGTAGATGAATTGGTAACTCTTGTTTCCTGTTAGAACCGTATGGAGGAGAGCAAAGCCCTGTTCAGGACCATCATCACATATCCCTGGTTCCAGAACTCCTCTGTAATTCTGTTCCTCAACAAGAAAGACCTGCTGGAGGAGAAAATCATGTTCTCTCACCTGGTCGACTATTTTCCAGAGTTTGATGGTATTCTTATTACTTTACATTTCACTTTTTTTACATTTGCACAGATTTAGTGTCGCTAAATAAAATGCTCAAGTAATGTGCTCTTTGTCACCTTTGAACTGCTGGTGTATCTTTTTTGTTTTTTTTTTTCTTACTTTTGAGTGACACCTTGTGGTGGTTATGTGCGCTACAAGACAAAATTAATTTTTAAACGTATATGTACATTCTTTCACAGACTCACTGCTGTAAATTTTCACACTATACACATTTATCTAAAGTTTTTACTTTTGTTCTCTATTCCTTTTAAGGCTTTCAAATTGATTCCCGTGTTGATTATTTTGCCAAAAATGGACAGAAAGACAAAATTGTCCGGTGTCTATGAAAACAAAAAAAACATTCATATTGAGCGTAATCATGAGATGGTCGTTTTTCCCAGGTGCTCAGCGGGACGCTCAGGCAGGTCGAGAGTTCATCCTGAAGATGTTTGTGGATTTGAACCCAGATAGTGACAAGATAATCTACTCTCACTTCACGTGTGCCACCGACACAGAGAACATCCGCTTCGTCTTCGCAGCTGTCAAAGACACCATCTTGCAGCTCAATCTCAAAGAGTACAACTTGGTGTGAAGGGAGGGTCCGCTAGTGAGATGCTGGCCTCTCGAGACACACTTGGTGCAGGAATTACCCTCCAGAGACGGACACCTGCATGAAACACACTGCTGCACAAAGAGACGAGCAACGCTTCATTCTTTACCAGACCAACGCTTATCCCTTTTTGCTCCTTCTCTTCATGCGGCTGTTTGGTTTGTTGACAGTTTAAAGACTTTTCTGTTTTGTGGTTTTTACTAACTGCTGGTCTTGCACAGTCACAAATTTAAATAGAACACTTTTGTCCTCTTTTTGGATGCCTCTTGGCTCTCTGTTTGGCTCACTTTTTTTCTACACTACATTATTATTTGTCTTTTAGCGTTGGAGGTAGGCAGGAGTGGGAGGGGGCATCTCTGGGTAGAACAATCCTTTGTGGACAAAGGGCTCTCTCATGCATGCTATAGACTACAGCATGGGTTTGTGACACCAGGCTGCAGATTACTGGACTCTGCTTATCTGCGAAGGATGACTAATTTAGGCAATGCTGAGGTGCAGTCAGGTACTTAGTTCCCTGGAACTCCAATTGCTTTTTTTTTTTCTTTCTTTCTTAATCACCCTGATTTCCAGCAGAGCAGATACGCTCTAATTGAATGTAAATAAGGTTTTGATGCTGGCCACGCAGAGTGAGGGCTGTTACAAAGATGACAAATGTTCTCTCTTCACTTTAAATATATTCAGAAATGTTAACTTCTTGAGCCTATTATTTCTGCTATTGTCTGTTAATTATGCTGAAGATGACTACTCAAAGGAGTACATAAGAAAAAGTTGCAATTTAACTATCAATTCTGCAAATGGTCAGTGATAACATGAGTGGTATTTATTACTGTTGTTGGAGTTTTCACATTGCCAAATTCAAACTAGCTGGGGTTGATAATTAAAAATATATATATAACTTTGTCACCAGGACAATGTCCATTCTTTAAATGTTACATATTGAGAAAAGAGATTAAGGATCTGAAGTCAGAATCAATTGGGTCAGATTTCCATGTTTCTCAGTGGGATTTTTTAAATGTCAAAGTTTGAATTGCTCATGTAATTAAAATCATGTTTTCTTTTTTTCCCCATTTTAAATGCAATTGGCTATTCCTGATCACTACCATGGTAAGATGTCAGGAAACTACAGCTTTTAGGTTGCTGATTTAAGCTTCCGTTAGTCCTGAACATTCATGGGGCTTTTTTTTTTGCCAAAATAAACACACAGTAATCAAATAGAATATTTTTTTTTATTATTTATCACAGCTCTGTTGACTCAGTATTCCAAATCTTATTTCAGATCATTTTTTTTCCAGCTTTGTTAATGGAAAAAAAATTTATACTGCTGTAAAATATCCAAACTATTTTATGGACAAGTGTTCTATCTTTCTGATGATGCATCATGGTTAGTTTTTGCGGGTCTGTTTTGACATAATTGCTGATTGGGGAAAATAGTGTTTCCATGTCAGGTTTGTGCTTCATGCAAATCAAAACAGACAAAAAAAGAAAACTTTATGGTTAAATATTTGCTGTTTTAAAGATTCTTGCGGATTTTTGGGAACATTTGTAAGGAAGGCCGTTGGCTATTGGTACAAATCCCATATCACGTGTTTTTTCCGGGTAGCTGTTGAAATACTTCTCTAAGATTTGTGATTGCTATTTTTGTCTTCACAATGTAATTCAGGTGAGTTTTCATAACTTTTTCATCATAAGGGCTACTCCTAGCAGATCTGATTGAGCTGAAAAGACTATAGAAGACAAAAAGAGCCAAAGGTGCAATTGATGACCGGGGTGAGTTGGGGTTTTGGCCAGCTGAACTGAGTTGGATGAGAGTTCAGGGAGGAGGAATGATGACGCTCCTGTAGGAAGTCTGGCCACAGTCCACTTGTTTCATTTTTTATTTTAAATGTAAAGAGGAGTGTCCTGAATGTCCAATTGGTGTCCTACCTGTTGGACTGTGCCGTCCAGTAATTCTGATAGGATTCCACAAAGGGTTTTTTGACCGTAATTGTTTTCCATAACGTGCATTTGCCTTTACATCTGCAGTATTTCCATGTATGACTTTTAACTTTGACCCCTTGTCTGAAGGGCTAAGATAATTTGATCCTCACACTGTTTAGAAACACAAAGAACTGGGAGGGTCTTATGAAAGAACGATTTAGATTTTCTCATCTTTTATTGTTGAGCGGTTGGAACCGTCATGAAGTGAAGTGTTCTGTGCTTTGCTTTGGGTTTTTTTCCAACCAATTTATGTTGTGAAATACTCAAGGGATTAACATTTTGGCTAATTTTCTAGATTTCTACACAGTCTTGAAGAGAGATCGATTTGATTTAATCATTATACAAGTTTGGAAAACGGTCAAATAAAAAACCTCAGAAAGACTGTAGAATAAAGGTGATGTACATTTCAAAACTTTCTTATTCTGACATCAAAAGGAAAACTGCTCTGAATATCTGACAAATTGAGGGCTGTTCAATGTCAGATTTAAGGTCTATGTAGCACATTTTTAAAATAACTTTTAAGATTAGTTACTCTGGCTCTAGAGTCAAGTTAAAACAAGCTTAAACAACTTACAGGAAGTGCTTTGCACTTCAGATGTCTGGAATGTCATCAAAGCTGCTGGAAAAATAAGGAATTTCAAAGTAGTTTGGAAATTGTTAATGAAAAACCCTGAGTGCCACATCCCTCTCCCTCACTTTTTTTAAAAAGATTGTTTCGGAGCTAAAAGTATTTCTTTAGCTCTAGATATTTTCATGCTTGATGCTTAAAAAAAATAAGAAAAAAAAAAGCAGCAAATTAATCATGTTCATAAAGTTTGTTTCGAAGTCGCAAGTTAATTTGGTGAATGACTAACATAACTACACAGCAGACTTTTGCATTGTTTGGAAAAAACAGTATGTCCCCCTCTGGGTGATAATGATTTTGGAGATTGTCGTCCATGGCTTTCAGGAAGCATGCTGATCTCCCAAATTTCAGCTTACCACCCTAAAACAATGTGTGCAGCTTTTCCTCCATTTGATCAGTTGTCTTCACGCACACTTGGTGGGACTCTGTAAAGATTAAATTGTCGACTGTCAGATTTCCAACTAGACTTCAAAAGGGGCCAGCAGTGAAAGTAACATGGCAATGACACAGTTATCGGAACAGCTGGGTTACTCCTTTTGAATCCTTTCACACAGATTGCTACTTTGCTTTGTTCTACATGTGAAACATTTTCAGAAGTTGTTTAGTTCACGATCCAATACAAAGACGGTGCCAAAAACAGACATCAAAAATGATTTTGAATCTGACCCAACACTGGTACATTTTACTAATGCATTTCTTGAAAGATTACGTTTTTCCCCCCAGAAGAAGCCTCAGTATTGGTCTATTTATTAAAGTGCTTGCCACGTAAAGGTACTGAACAGGTCCAATAGTGGTCAGAGCAGTGAATGAAGAGGAGGATGATTCTGCTGAGTGTTTACATTCACCGTTTTCCCACCCTCCTTTTTTTTTTATTTGATTGGACTGTGGACTGTCCTGCCACATTGAAGCTACAACACTGCAGTGGGCTTGCATTTGTTAACGTAGATGTCCATTCAAGCATTGTTGGTACTTTGAGGTGTGTGTGTGTGCATACACAATTGTTTAAGCTTGAGCTCCATCCTGGTCGGAGGATTGGACGTACAGTGATTATTATTAAAAGCTATCTTTGCTTCTTGTTCAGTTTTCTTTTATAAGGTTTACACACCTTAAAACGTGGACCACTTTAAATTACTTTTTATTTGTTGTTAAATCAACAGTTAAGTTTGTGTAGTGGTGTACAAATTGAAAGTAATGCTTTTTTTTTTTTCTTAAGTATACCAAATGTAAATTCTGTACAATGTGTGCCAATCCCCTTTCTTTGTAAAGCCAGACTTATCAAGTGCCGATGTTGTGAAAAATCAGAGGGCCTGTATAGTTCCACGGCCCACTTTTTAAAGCAAACACTAAGTATATGATTGATTAACGAGAAAAAAGTACACTATTATATATTTAAGATTAATGATGAACTGCTGTTTTTAAGATGCGTGTCAATTGATTTGCATGTCTTGTGTCAGGTTGGGGGAGGATTTGGGTGGGTGACAAACTGTTCTTGCGTCACCCTTAAGAGAAGGGTGGAAATGGTTATTAATTTACAGTATTTTAGCCATATTTCTCTTTTTGTATGTTTCATTTCAGCCATTGTTGCCTGAACCTCATTCAAACATGAAAAATGATGATTTTTACATAGCCTTCTCCTTTTAAATGTTTTCAATTGGAATAAACTATGTTCCTATACTCTCCTCTTGCATCTTTGTACATTTACTGGTGTTACATATTTTACTTTCTGTAGACATGTCAGGTTTTTAAAGCAATTGCCTGTTTTTTTTTGTTGTTTTTTTTGCCCCACCATTTTTCTACAAATCTTTTAGTTTGGGTTTATTATCTTGAAGCACAAGACTGGCCTTTGAATGTAGGGGAAAAAAATCAAGAGTTTCCAAGCTACAGCCGAAATTATGTTTGCAAGTCATCTGAACTGGGGTATTACTTGAAGTATGCAAATGCCATTTGACTTTTAAGATATAGTGCCAAAATAACCCTGCAGATTTTTCTATTTTTCTTATTTTCAGAATTTTCAACTATGGAATAAGAATTAACTGGAGAGGAAACAGGGATGCGTTTTATGTTTCTGCAATGAATGACAGGCGTGCAGACTGACTGATCTAACATCCAACACTGTGCTGTAATATTTTGTCTTGTTGAAATGAGATGTGGTCCATTTCTATATTTCTATCAAACCTGTTGAGGGTTTAATAAGAACGATCAACTCGTTTGAGCTGGAAATTTCGGAACATCTACTTCCACATTCCACCTTGTTTAAAAGAATTTTGATGATCTTGCATTGAGGCAACAGAGCAAAGAACAGCAGCACCACACAGCCCATTTGATGTCTTTATTCCTAAAGTACAAGATGAAAAGGTTTCTTTATATTTTCTGCATATACTTATAATACTTTATAATACTTTGAAGATTTGAATCTTCTGACTATTGGGACTTTAAGAAAATCAGATTTATATGTATATCACTTCCTTCCTCATAAAGAAGATGAATTTTCTTTCTTTTTTTCCCCAATTTCCATCCCACCTCAATCATTGTTGAACTTTGAGGGATCCATATCCCTCATAGGATAAGGATTGTTTCCTCTGAAGCATGCTGGAGCGTAAAACAAAATTACAGCACCTCCGAAAAGTATTGAAAACCCCTGAGTGTTTTTTTTTTATCACCGTATAAACACAGAATTCAACGTACGTAATTAAAATTGCATGATTGACCAACACAAACGGGTATAATAGAAATATATTTTACTGTTCTTCGGCGAAGTAACACAAGGTAAAATATATAAATGAGACTGTACAGTAACGGCAGCTTTATAGGAAAAGTATCACTCATTTTCAAAGAAAATACAACTGAGAATGGCATAAAATTTAAATGTGCTACTTGTTTGTGATGTAGGAAAGTATGGCACTTTTTTTTTTTCCAAGCCCTCTTGAGTAAAATATTTTTGTCGTTTCATTTTGCTGTAGGCACAGCTGCAAGTCTTTGTGTCTATGCCTCAACAGCTTTACACATCGAGGGACATTTTTCACATACTTCTGTGCAAAACAGCGGTCGCTCCATTAGATTGAATGAAGAGTGGGTTTTTGTCTCTGTTGGATTTATGACTTGGTTTTGACAGGGACATTCTAATACATTATATACAACATTTTATTGTACCTCTGACTGTACATTCAGGGTCCTTGTCCTGCTGGGGTTTGTGTGTTTCCCCAAGTCTTGAATCTTTGACAGCCTCAAACAGGATTCACCCATCTTCCTATCAACTCTTCTAAGCTTCCTTGTTCCAGCAACTTTCTGATGGGTCTCCGCTTCAACACACCTGAGTCAAATAATTAGGTAATTATCAGGACTCTGGGTATCTTGACTGCATATTGAGGATGTAATTCAGTAATTTGATTCACCTGAGAAACTCTGGGACACATTGAAAAGCAGCAGGACTTCGGCCTTTGTTGTCTGCAGTTGAATACCCCTGCTGCTAGGTTTCAGATGTCCACCTACCTAGCTGATCTCTGAAGCCAACTGACTTCTTTGTTTTTTGTGGCATCAGAGTAAAGGGGTTCAAATATGAAATATGTCTTCTCTTTGGTGTTTCTCTATCACACAAAATGCATTGGACTTTGTTACTGCAATATTTACTGACGATATTTAAAATGTGAACAAAAATGTTGACTTGGATGAAAAATGGAGCAATCATATTACTTCTGATTGTTCTACTTCTGTCACTTATTTAGTGACATTGAACGTTTCCTGCCATTCCACTGCTGACGGCGTTGATATGCCGTCGTGTCCACTAGGGGCGCTGCTTGCTCAGACATCGGCCCAGCAAGAGGCGGATAGATCCCCGCTGTGTAGATCTGCTCGGCGCTCATCTAGCGGCTCTTATTTCTGTGCGGGGCTGTTCTGTTCTCAGCAGCGTTTTTGGTCTGTCTACAGATCCAGCTGCTGCAGCGACCGGACTCACTATTTTTTTTTCTTTTTTCTGCGGCTTCACCTCCGCCGGCCGAATCCACTCGGGTTAATATCGAGCGCTGCTCGGCTCGACGGGGATAAACAGAGAGTTTCAACTCCAGCCCGTGAACGTCACTATTCTGAGTGGAAACGCCGCTTCAGCGACATTTGTTTGTTTCTTTAACGGACAGCTTTTTTTTTCTTGTTGCTGCTGCGTTGGTGCTTAATTAAACTGTGGCATTGTTTTTATTTGTTATTATTATTATTATTATTTTTAATAGAAATCACCTATTTACCAACAGTGGTCGAGTCGAGCTTTTGAAGGGGGGAACACAAGGCGAGGAAGGAGATTTTTTTTTTTATCCAGACGCCTCCCTCTCTTTCTGTGTACATAACGTTATTAATTTACAGACGCCGAACTGACGCTGCCGCCGCGGAAAAAGCTCGCAGCGGCGATGAATCATTTTAACTGACAGCTTTTGAAGAATTAGCCAGCTTTAGCCGGAGACACGAACTGGAAACCGACGGCTGTGTTCTGCTCACATACGCAGTAAAATAGCAGGTTCGGGGAGCAGGCACAGCTACAGCTGATAACACTACCGACTCCTCTGGGTTTTGTTTTTTTGTATGTTTTTTTTTTTCCCTCCCCTCCCTAAAGGCTGCAAAGTGCAACACTTGCCGTTTGGCTTGAAGCTTGTTTTGGTAGGAAGGGGGACCGCTAGCCGCCGTTAGCTAGTCGTTCTGCTAACCCTGGACAGCTCCCGAGAAAGAAAGGCTGAGCTAGCTTTTGGACAAAGGAGCAACGCAGCGGGGAGATTTACAAAACACCGGGCACACGAGTCGTGTTCTGGAGCGACAAACAAGGACCTGACATGATGTTTCCACAATCAAGACACTCAGTAAGTTGCTCGGATTTTAAAGCGTGCTCAGTAGTCCTCCGGTTAAAGCAAATGACGCGTGAAACTTCATGCGATTAATTTAATTGAGATAGGTCTGTTCGCTGGGAAGTTCTTAAGTTCTGCAGAACATTTTTTTCGGAGGTTTGACGTAATGGCGAATGTGTCAAACGCTGCATTGTTGTTAGATTTCACATGACATTTGCTATAACTTCACATAAACCCGGTAAGGCATTATTTTTTTTTATTATTTGCACGTATTAAAAATAGCAAACGAGTGCCGAACACGAATGATGGGCTGTCATATTTGGCTCGTCAGCGGATGAGCGGAAAGAAAAAAAGCGTACGTTTCTGTTCCCCTAAATCTCAGGTATCCTTGGTAACAGTAATTCAGTTTAGGGCAGGCGTTCATCAGTAGTGTGGGTTTTCAGCCCAATGGTCAAAACGCTCGAGTTTGGAGCTGTGTCTTTGTCAAATGTCTAAAAAAACAAGTCCACGATGGGCTTTTAATGGTGACGTACACCAAGGTTTTAAAGAGTTACAGTTGGAGCCAATCACTATGGCATTGCTGCGCTTCCCCCACTCTTCAGCTGGCTGAAAGACGGCTCAGACACGTCACCTAAAACGAAGAGAAGTTTGGCATTCCCGCTCACAAAGAACGGACTCCAACAACATATTTTTATGTATTTTTTTTAAGTCACTATTGATTTAAAAGTGCAGTTTGCAAGCTGTGTGGGTGTGCCTGTTATAATGCAGTTGCAGGCTCCCCGACTAAATAACTCAAATAAGTGGCTAATAAGTAGTTATGTTTTTCTAAGGAGCTCCGAATGATAAAAAAAGAGCATTCCGTGGAATAAAATATAATGATACATCGAGGCTAGTTACAGACCGTCAAAGTATTTCAATGGCAAGCAGTGAATTCAATGAAATGAATGAAACCAAGCGGTCAGTTGCGTTATCACAAACGGTATGGTGATGATTGCAGTTCAATATTATTCATCACTCAAGCCCAACTTTGCTTACTTCACATGTTGGGATTTTTTAGTTTTAATAGTAACCAGTGTAATTCGGGTCATCTTTCCGTCACAGTCTGCCTTTTTCTGGTACCAACGCAACAGTGAACTATTCTAGCTTTTTATAGCTTTTTGCTTTCTTTCATTAGTTCTTCACAACTGATGAGGTAAATGTTGTTTAAGACACTCAAACCTAAAAGTCTTGTGGCATGAATAATTATTTGCTGCACAGTAGGGATGGTCTTACTGGGAAATGTTAGAGTTGGTAGCAGGATTTTAGGATTGTTTTTTGGTTCATCAGATTTAATTAAATACTTGTATATGGCCAGAAGGTATGTGCACCCTCTTTCATGTGAAGACAATGCACATCAAGGAATAATGATGAAAACCCAACATGGATTTTCTAGAAAACCACACTGCCATTGTTGACATAGAGCTTGCTGACATAGATGCAGGAGTTGCTTCTGCCTTTTGCATCGCAATAGCTCAAGCCTTTTCACATTGTCTCTTTTTCGCTCTGCTTCTTTTTACCTTTGGAGCGGTTTCTTCGCAGTCTGAAAACGTTGTAGAAATTGCCTGAGGGGGACAACATGCACCGAAGCAAATGTCCACAGCATTTGTTCCAGACTTCTTGCAGACCTTTCCATCTGCCCCACAGGCAAACTACTCCACAAATCAGTGAGTGAGAAAATTTGCAAGCACAATTCTTGTGGCCTTTGCCACAGTTATGCATGCATACTCACAGGAATTTGTGCTGTAGTGTTTTCTGCTGACCCCTATGTTGTTTTACATACCCTGCAATTTTGTGTTAATAAAGACACACTGTCAATGTGTGAGAAAACCTCACAGACTGATCTCAAAGCGAAGCAGAGAACATACAGCCATCTTTTATGTTGTACTCTGTGCATGATGTACTGCCTCCTGTGAACTCCAGTCAGCTACTCACTCACACCCCCACACTCCCCTATCCTTCGGATTTCCAGCTGCGAAAACTCATCGCCGACTGACGAATACCCTGCTGTGGGTACATTGTGAAGAGCAAGTGTAGACTTAGTCTGGAGCAATCTCTCAACCAATGAAAACCTGAAAACCAGTTTGTGCCACAGCATTTCAATCGGATTGATACCGCGACTTTTACGTTCGCCATTACAGCATTTTGTTTTCTCTTTTTCTGTCATTCTGTTGTGGATTTGCTACTGTTGTTCTATTAGCAAAATCCATAGCATTTTATTCCAGAATACTCTGGTATACAATTTATAGCTGACTCTGTGACTATATTGTGCTGAGACCTGCTGTAAACTGACAAATCTACAAGCTGACTCCTTGTATTTTTCATGGACAAGAGGCTTTTTGCTGTAAATTTCAAAACAATTGAGGGGGACTGTCATTGCTTGATGCACACACTTGATTCAGATTTTAGCAGCTGAAATACAGCTGGCCACAGAGAGTAATAAGGACATCCTGATGGGTTTTAAAGAAGGTGATGCGTGAGGAAAATTAGGATTAATCACAACTGAAATCAATGTTGCAATTGACAGCAATAAAATGTTAGTTATCAGTTTTCCATCCCCATAATTGGAGGCAATCTCAATGCATGGAGTGTTCCAGATGGTTTTCTGTAACCACTAGCAATTACATTTGGTCTTGCAGTCTGGGACTATTTTTTGACATTTACATTTCTCTATTGTCAACATCAATAGAGATTTACTTGATTTACATGTCATTCAAGTGAATTATGTCCACTTTCATGACAATTTGAATTGTGTAACAAAAAAAAAAAAGAAAGTTGAATAGCAGGCATAAGTGTGACCAGCAATGTATAAGATATTTTTAGTTTAGTGGGATATATTTTCTGTTCTGTTTTCTAACCATACCAACTTTTTATAATTTTTTTTTTTTTTTTTTTGGTTGAAACTGGTTGAGTCCCTCCCCAATTGGGCTAAAACCTCAGTCAACTTTTCTGAGGTGAAACAGATGGCTTACTGCACTCCTGCTTGAATTTAATTTTTATAATCCAATTGAGTGCTGTGGTGCTGCTTGATTTGAGCATTAGGACCCCAGGACCCAGGATTAAATGTGAGGTTTGGGACTTCAGCGGGCCTTTTCTCCAGAGTTACAGCTGCCTCATTTTTACTCCAAAATATGGCTCGTCAACTTCCGCTGTGGCTTCACACTTAAATATGCAGTACACACAGTACTTGTCTTTTGTCGTGACATTTTGCCTTTACCCGACTGCTGTGGTCTAAAGATGGGGAAAAATTATGACGCATTCGTAGATGTGTGTAAAAACATGAAAATCAAGAGAAAGAAGTGATGACAGATGGACTAATCTAAACCCTCATTCTCCATCAAATCAACTATATTATATTCTTTAGGTTACAGTACTTCTAAACTATAGACTTTAGTCGCGTTCATCATCATCAGGTACTTGTGAAAGCAACCCGGTACTACAAACTAAACCACGTCTGTGCACGACTTTCTTCCTGTGCTGCTACTTTCTCTCATGTGTGGAGAGGTGGAACCGCTTGAAAATTTTCCACAAAAAATAGTTTTACTTAACAAACCCCACAGCCATGTATCCTGCGCATGTGCGTTTTCACACCTGCAAACTACTTCACTCCTCCATGGGGTTTGCTTCGGAAAAGTTTCACTTCGACACAAACACTTTTTGAAACCAGGTCTCAGAGACTTTGATCGCTGGAGACGTGGAAAGGCACGCCTGGATTTGAACGAAAATGTTACTAAAATTCGGCCCCACGGAAATGACGCGAGTATATTAACTCACTTTGGTTTATTTGCTGTGTTAGGGATGCTGAGCTGTTTGGATGGTTGTGAAATATTGATTAGTCAATGCATGAAGAAAAGACAATAAAGCAGAAACATTTTTACTGTCGATGCATTCTGGAGTATTCACACACATTGTCACACACTTCATTCTACTTACTTTTTTTTTATACTTGGGAGCTGGTTGGATATAGGTTATTTACCAGCATTTATTTTCTTATGCAAAATCTAAAACAATACACAGGTGAATTCAGAAAGAGAAAGCATACTTGCTTTGCAGCTTTTTGCAGGGACTCAGGTTTCCATTTGCCCTTTATGTGCACACTTTAATCCCTCGCCATGGCCACAGTTCATTGATTTAAGAGATGGGGGCGGGAGTGGAGGGGGGGCGGCGGCATCACTTGATTGTGGCACATCGCCTGACCCAGTTGACAATGTTTGGCATATTGTTTTGGTGTTGATTAATCCTAATGCAGCTTCAACAAAGCTGGACTGTGGTGTGAAAGTGGAACAACATAAAAGCTCAGTGCCAGAGCGGGAGAGCAGCACAAGTAATGCGGAGGGAAAATCTCTCAGGTCCCCTGAGCTCATACTCAACTGCAGAGATGGCCACAGGTTGTACACACACACATAGACCACCCCCTCCTTTTCTTCCTCCTCCTTGTCTCCTTTATCACGCGTTTCCTCCCAGATCTTCTGTAGTGGTGGGAGGGACAGGGGCAGAGGGTGCACAGGCATTATTAAGCCCACTTGAATTAACAGAACAGCCCCCAGCCTTTCCTCTAAAGCCTCCAGCTGGGGGGAGCTTAATCTCCATGGTCCCCTGTCTCGTCCATTAAACAAACTCCCCCGCCCCTTTCCCATCATTCTGCAGCACACACACACATGCAGACACACACACTTTTGTGTGTTTCTGCGTGAATAATAAGCCATGCTGTGTGTGTCTGGCTTATTAGGAGAGCTGGACATTTGCGTGCACACCCATACGCGGGATAATGAGAGAACGCAAGAGCGCCCAAATATTAACTGTAGCTCTCCTTTCTGCATATAATTATTGCTCTCATACATGCTTAGAAAAAAAAAGGTTTTGTTTTCTTTTCGGCACGCACATTCTCACCAGCCTCAAGGGTCTTATCTGCTTTTTGTATCTGGGGGAACAAATTGAATGTGGGTCTTGACACACGCGGGCCAGCAGATGTCTGGGTT